GCCTAGGGCTTCCAGGCTGTCATCATTACCGGAGCAGAGACGGCCTCAGCTTTCTCCTGGGCAGGGCTGGTGGGTACAAACCACCAACCCTTAGGGTAGCATCACCCACTGGGCCAGCCCGGCTCCAGGCGGTGTGCTGATAATGACAGTGAGCAGCACTGGGGTTCCAACCAGAAGGTTGCTGGCTCAAGCCCACCCAGGGATGCCCCGGGAGACAGGCCTGGCCATCCACACTGCTCTCCGGGAGCACAGGCCTAGGAAAGGCTGTGGAGCAGTTCCTCTCTGCACAGGCGCAGCTGCCGGGAGGCAGACTGGACTCAGTTTTGGCTGGGGCTCTGACAGCAGCGCCCTCTTCCTTCACCCACCACCTCGCACACACAGTATCCTCAGCTACCCCCCCACGCCCCGCTTCAGTACCACTGCTGAAGACGTGTGAAAACCTGTCTGTGGGGAGAGGACTTGGGAACAAGCAGAGCAGCCCTGGGAAAGCAGGAGCAGGGCCAGGTGCTGTGCCCAGGCACCTGAGCCAGCGCTGTGTGCTGCCCTCTTCCTGCCAGACGTCAGCCCGTCAGCTTCATTTTCTTCTCCTCGTTCTCCCTCAAATCTTACCCATTGAGGGCCCCCGGGGTTCACAGGTCAGAGTGGCTTCAGACCCAGCGTAGGAATTGGACTACTCAGCTGCCCTGAGGAACTTGGGAGTTTTTAACCTGGAGGCAAGGAGTGGTGATTTTGTACCAATTAGCCATTCGAAACAGTCTACAGGGCATTTCAAACCCTCCCTGCAGCGCTGCAAAAGAAAGGCCTGGCAATCAGCTTCCAAAGCAGGGGACACTGAAAGCTCTCCCAGGGAGTGGTCAGCACAGCGCCAGTGTGTACAGCGGCCCTCACGCATCAGAACTGACTGCCTTCTAGCCAGAGCGCTTGGGTTAACCAGAGACACAGGCAGCTTGACTGAAAAGCCCCCGGCCGGCTCCCCAAGAAACCGTGGATAAAATTTCAGCTCTGCCCTGCCTTGTGCCCAGCCAGCGAGGTCTGAAGGACGCATGATGGCAGGTGATCTAGACGCCCAGGTTCCCTGGTCAGTATGAATTCCATCGAAGGGTTTGCTTACACTAGTGCGACACACAGGTCTGCCCTGGGCCAGGACGCCAGCAGGAGCAGCAGGCAGCCTGCTCTGTGCTCACTGACGGACCGGCAGTAGAATGTTCTCAGTCCATGCAGCCCAGGTTTGATTCCTGGCCAGTGCACCATGCACAGCTACTTCCCCTCTGTCAATGGACAGGCTCCAGTGGAGCTTCCAGAATGAGTCAGACTGGGAAGAAAAGCCCCACCCACACATTGCAGGAGACAGAAGACCACGGCAGGTACTCACTGCGCTGGAAAAGCTGAAGCTGAATCCCTCCGATGGGGTCTCGCAGCTCCTGGCCACCTTGCTGCTGCTTCTCTGGGACCTGAGGCCGACAGATCCCTGCGTGTCGCTGAGCGCATCTGTTTCGAGCCTGATCGGTTGTAAGCGTCTTCATACCAGGCTTCTGGGAAAGTAACCCCATGGTGTCCTCTTTTCAGGGCAGTGAAAGAGCAGTCCTTTGAAAGGTCTGAGGTCACAGGAGCCTGGTGGTGCAGTGGTTAAGTGCTCCAGCGATTGGAGCCCACCAGTTGCCCCTCAGGAGAAAGTTGGGCATCCTGCTTCCGTAAAGATGACCACCTTGGGAAGCCCGTGGGACTGTGCTCCTCCATCCCGGAGGGTCCCTCAGCGTGGGAGTGGACTCAGTGGCCGTGGGAGCTCGTGGGAAGTTGCACTCACCCCTCCGACCCCCCAACTGCCCCACAGCCGCTGGCTCGGGCTGATGTGACTGACGGGCATCGGAGGTTCCCCGGAGCTAGGGATCGACGCCTGCCTGCCTGCCTGTCCGCCGCCCACGGTTTGCTGAGGTTGCCGGGCTGCTTTGCATGCCAGTGCTGACCTGAAGATTGGCAGTTCAAGTCCACCAGCAGCTCCATGAAGGAAGACCTGGGTGTCTGGTCCTGTGTAGCTGAGAACACTCCAGGAAGTCATGGTGCCCACTGGCACGGGATGTTGCTGTGGGTCAGCAGTGTGACACCCCCCCACCCCCCCCAAGAACTGTGGCAGGCTGCTGCTTCAAGATGTGTTCTTGCAAGGTCCCCTGGTCACAGGTCCAGATGAAGACCCAAGACTGCCAAGGGCACAAGTGTCAAACCGCTAGGCACAGGCTGTTCACCAAACTCCCAAGAGTCCAGTGAGTGGTTTGTTACACAGGTACAACACCACCGCCACATGGAGTCGAGTACGGCTCAGGAGAGTGACCCTCTGGGACAGAGTAGAAGAGCTCGGCTGGATTTTTTCGACCCTAAATCTGTACAGGAGATGACTCATCTCCCATTTGCAGGATTACTGGATTCCGGGTGGAGGCCACCGCTCCACGTGTGCAGGGGAGAACGGTTTCCTTGAGTTCTCAGGGAAGCCAAGTGCCAGGCCTCCAAGGTTGCCCCAGGCGGGAGTCACACTGCCAACCTCGTGGCTCAGAGTGAAGCGCGTAACCTTTGTGCCACCAGGAACTCTGTATTCCAGGTACTCACACATCGTTTAAGGCCCAGGTGGCAGAGTTTGTGCGTGACGACTGACTTAGAGGTTGGCACGTGAACCGCCCGAGGCACCATGAAGAGAGGCCTGGTGATCTGCTTGCCTCAGGATCGCAGCAGCTGCGTGTCTGCCTGCAGCTGCTCCTAGATCATGTAGCGTTTCTACCGCCTGAGAGCCCCCCATCCCGGAGGGCGGGGGTGGGTGGGCTTTCTCTGCAACCTTCTACCTGTGACCAGAGGTGACTCACTTGGTGGAGGGGGAACAGGAACCGCTGTTGAGGGACCGGTTTGGCTGAGTATCATGCCTCTGCCAGCTGGGTCAGGGACACGTGGACTCGGGAGGTCACATGGCCTGAGTTTCTGAAGCACCTGCTCAGACCCTAGGAGACCTGGGGAGTAGGCCGGATTGGGGGTGGGAGGAGCCGTGGTTAGGAGACCTGGGGGTGGGAGGAGCCCCTGTAGGACAGCTAACCACTAACCACAGCAGGGTCCACAGTTGGAAATCCCCAGCTGCTCCTTGGGCGGGGGCGGGCATTACAGCCTTGGAAGAGCACAGGGACAGCTGCCCTGCCTGTGGGGCGCTGCGAGTCAGAATTTGGTGGCAGTAAGTGGAGGTTTGAGTTATTGCCTCTTGGGTGGCCTTTCCCCTGGGCCAGGTGAAGAAGATGGGTGAGCTGGGGCTCCTGGCCATGGACGTGCCGGAGGAGCTGGGCGGTGCCGGCCTGGATTACCTGGCCTATGCCATTGCCATGGAGGAGATCAGCAGGGGCTGCGCCTCGGCCGGCGTCATCATGAGCGTCAACAATGTGAGCGCCCCCGGCCCCGGAGGCACTGGTTTGGGGGATGTGGCTGGGCGCGGGGGGGCGCGGGCAGTACTCCCGCCTCAGGGCCAACCTTGGAGGGAAACCTGAGGAGGGTGCCCAGGGGTCTCCCATCTCGTTCCCCGGAGACGTTACTGAACTTGAGAGGATGGCCCAGGTCCCCGGGGCCCAGGCTCTGAACACCCCTTGTCCCCTAGTCGCTCTATCTGGGGCCCCTCCTGAAGTTCGCCTCTGCGGAGCAGAAGCAGCAGTGGGTCACTCCTTTCACCGGCGGTGACAAAATTGGCTGCTTTGCCCTCAGCGAGCCAGGTACCTGACCTGACCCCTCCCTTCCCCAGAATCAGGGGGACAGACTCAGCTTGGAGCTGAGGGCCCTCAGTGGAGGGTCAGCAAGGCCAGGTCCTCCAGAGCCTGGGAAGGTGCCCTCTGCCTGCCTGCATGATCTCCAGGCCTTGGTGCCCTGGCCCGTGGGCGGCCCCACACTCACTCTCAGAGCCTGGTTTGTAGGGTCTCGGGGGTCAAGTGGATGGTGGGGTGGGGTGGGGTGGGATGGAGGCAACCTTACACTGTGTGGGGGCAGGGAATGGCAGCGACGCAGGCGCCGCCTCCACCACGGCCCTGGCAGACGGTGACTCCTGGGTCCTGAATGGGACCAAAGCCTGGATCACAAACTCCTGGGAGGCCTCCGCCACCGTGGTCTTCGCCAGCACGGACAGGTCCCAGAAACACAAGGTGGGCGTCCAGAGAAGGGCCGGCGGCTCTTGGCTGCACTCACAGTCTCTAGGTCCAGGCGCCTCTCCTCTCCCTGGAACTGTGGCCTAATTGGTGGCGGTGCTTGTCCTGGGGAGCTGGCCCTCCCTCCCTGGGGGGGCCTTTCACTGACCAGCAGAGGTCGCTGCTCTGTGTCTGGGCAGGATGGCGGGGATGGAACTGGTGGCCTGTGGTGTGGGAGGGTGTGGTGTGGGCGAGGACGGCAGGCCTGGGGCCACCCTGTGCAAAGACGGAGTGCTTTTCAGGGCATCAGCGCCTTTCTGGTTCCCATGCCAACGCCCGGGCTGACACTGGGCAAGAAGGAAGACAAGCTGGGCATCCGGGCCTCATCCACAGCCAACCTCATCTTCGAGGACTGCCGCATCCCCAAGGGCAACCTGCTGGGGGAGCCGGGCATGGGCTTCAAGATCGCCATGGTGAGCTGGGCTGGGGCATGGGGGCTCGGGAGGCGGCTGGGGGACTCCGCTGTCAGCCACTAACCAGGCCGTCCCCGCAGCAAACCCTGGACATGGGCCGCATTGGCATCGCCTCGCAGGCCCTAGGCATTGCCCAGGCTGCGCTCGACTGTGCCGTGACCTACGCCGAGAACCGCAGTGCCTTCGGGGCACCCATTACCAAGCTGCAGGGCATCCAGGTAAAGGGCAAGGGGACGCCGCCCCCGTGGCCCCTGCCCCTGAAGGAAAGGGAGATGAGGGGCAGCTGCTGAGTGGGGTGGGGGCTGGCTTGTTGCAGTTCAAGCTGGCAGACATGGCCCTGGCCCTGGAGAGTGCCCGGCTGCTGACCTGGCGTGCTGCCATGTTGAAGGACAACAAGAAGCCATTCATCAAGGCAAGACTCAGGGCTCCCAGGCCAAGGGGTGGAGCAGGCAATTGGTGGGTCCCAGTTACGTGGCCTTGGGGTCAGAGATGGGGGGGGGCTGTGGGCATTTGCTCCTGGGGTGGAGGCAGGTGGGGACTTCCCAGGCCTCCCCTGCTGAGGGACCCACGACCCCCCAAGGACATTTCTGACTGGGCCACTCCCATGGTTAGGAGGCTGCGATGGCCAAGCTGGCTGCGTCAGAGGCCGCCACCGCCATCAGCCACCAGGTGAGTGGAGGTGTGGGCCAGCTCGTCATCTTGGGGACTGCCCCTGCCCTTGGCTCTCTGCCCCAAGGGGGTGGGTGGGGGCAGGGTCTTGCCGCTCCTGAGCCCCTGCTTCTCATCACAGGCCATCCAGATCCTCGGTGGCATGGGCTACGTGACAGAGATGCCGGCCGAGCGACACTACCGTGATGCCCGCATCACCGAGATTTACGAAGGCACCAGCGAGATTCAGAGGCTGGTGATCGCCGGGCACCTGCTCAGGAGCTACCGCAGCTGAGTCTGGCCCCAGGGTCCAGGACTGTTAATCTCGAGAGCCTGGCTCGGGCCGCCACTGGTCCATAGGTCCCTTCTCCGGGATGGATGAGGGGGCTTGGCTGCTGCCTGCCTGCCACACTCCCCGAGGCCACACTGCTGGGAGCAAGTCTCAGAGACCATGTCAGCCCAGCTCCCTGGACCTGCTACCTCCTCTCCACCACGTGCCTCCTTTTCTCCGTGTGACACTGGCCCCACGGTGGACTCCATGGTCCTTTGCTCTGGGTCCTGGATTCTCACAGTCTGCTCTGCGCACAGGACCCAGGGGCTCAGCCTGAGAACTGGCTGGACAGGCTCCAGGCACCCTCTGCTCTGTCCCCGGGTTCAGAGTCAGGAAAAGGTGTTGGATGACCCAGAATGACCAGGCTCAACAGCAGAGTCTGGGGTCCTGCCTGTCTTAGTGTATAGGGTGGTGTGGGCTTGTGGGGATGACCCAGAGCCCACTGACCTTGTCTCCGTAAAGTACCACAGGGACAGGGTGCCTGGGGCAGTGGACGTGGGGCTGGCTGGGGAATAAAGCCAGTTGTACCCAGGCATGTGTCTGTCCTGGCCCCTGCCTGGTGCTTGTGGGATGGAGCTGGGTCCTGTGGAGTTGGGTGTGCGCGTGTGCTCACGGATCTGTGTATTGGGGGCTGTGGTGAGTGTGTGTGCGTGCTTGCACATGCACGCACACGTGCATGCATTCTTGAGCATGCCAGGGGATGTGGCGGCTGTCATCAGGTTCCGTCTCTGCCCTGGGAGAAAGTTCCTGTGGGCAGCAGGCAGGCTAGCCCAGTGAAGCGGTCAGTAAAATGAGCTGGGGCCTGTGCCTCCGCCAGTGACCGAGCGGCCGGGCCTCATGCCTGAAGACCCTGCCATCAGCCGGGCTAGAGGAGGCGGCATGCCCCAGGTGGGCTGTGGTGGGCGCGTGAGAGCAGGCTGCAGTGGCCCTGACTTAAGGCCCTTAGGAAGCATCTTCCAGCCGTCTGCCACTGCCAGCCCCGAGCGCACTGGCAGGGTGGCTGACCCTGGTGCCTAGCCCCAAGTGGGGTGCTTTCAGCGCAGCTCCCACTGTAGCTGTGCCAGAAGAAGCCAGCTCCTAGCACAATCACTACGGGTTTGGTAGGCGCAATTGTACAGCGATAATAAGTAAATATTATAGTAAGGTTATAGAGAGCATAAGAGATAAAAGAGATATATAGAAATAAATGGAGTCAGACACATTTTATGGTAGCATGCTCACTCAGCCCTGCTTGGTAATCCACGTGGAGGGAGTGAGGGAGAACTTTAATGCTCCCCAAGCTTTTATACTCTGGGGACATTGGGGACGAGCAAGCCCCCACATTACAGGTGAAGACATACGTTACAGGAAAGGGTTGTGCTACAGGTATTACAGTGATGGGAGGGGGTGATCTAGGGACATATGCGCTATGGAAGGAGGAGGGATTGGGGGTGTACATGCGGCAAGATAGGCGGATCCTAGATTTCTGGTAGCAGCTTAACTTGATTTTGGGTCTCCATAGGAACCATTATCAGTTGGTGTGAACTCCCTCCACAGGAACCAAACTAATGGCCTTAGGCTCCAGAGAGGTAACCCATTGTCTCTAGCATCAGGGAGCAGGCCCACCCCCATGGTGGGATGAGACAGCAGTCTGGCAGCAAGTATCTGACTTCCCCCCACATAGCTGGAGCCTAAGCTTCTGACTGCTGTGGTCCCACGTCCCGAGAGAAGCGGCTGGAAAATCGGAGCAGAGGTATCAAGGGAGGGGGCGACTCGCAGCAGTAATGGCTGCCACCAAGTGGCCCAAAGGCTCCTAGCTGTGACCCTAAAGGCTGGTGGTTCAGCAGCACGGAAGGCCTGGTGACCTGCCTGGCGCTGGTGGTCAGGGCTGGAATCTACTCGACACCAGTTAACAGGTGCCCACGGGAGAGTCTGTGGCCATCACTCTGCCAGGCACAATGCCCACCCCCCACCTACCCTCACTGAGTGCCACCGGGAGCCAGGGAACACACTCTTGCCTCTCCCCCACCTCCCCTACCAGGTCATAGCGAATCTGTGGTTATCTTTATTACTAATTTGAATAATAGAACAATAGGTGAACCGTAGTTATGACTTGCTAAAATACACTGTTTCTTAACGTGAATCAGAACAGTTTCGGAAAATCCACGGTGAATTACATTATTTGTCACATCACTGGTAACCGAGTGGAAGCCCGTTTAAATCTTTCTCCTTTTCCTGTAATTACTGCTTCATTCTCAACGTTACTGGTTAAGGCTCACAAATACTAATCACCACAATACGGTAGCTAAAACACCAGAAAATCGTCACAATCCAGCCTTATGAACGTGCACGTGCTCGTGGGCAGACGAAACTAGGGGATTGGAGGAGGCACCCTTCTAAGTGGGTGAAAATCTCCCATGAGACACATTGGAAGGCTTCCGGAAGTTGCCCTCGTAGGTATGTTGAGCAAGCTGGAGGGGGACAATACAGCAATGTTTTCCTTAAAACATTTCCTTCGGCTGAAACTACACAATTCTATGGACATTTTGGTGTGTCCGTCAGATGCACCCCCCCACCCCCATGACCCCACTGAGAGAAGAGTCCTCCCAAAGAGGGCTGCCTCCGCCCACCTGGCTGCCAATCCCTACCTGCTGGGGCTGGGGGTGGGGCTAGAGGGCGTGTCTGCCCTGAAGGGCAGTTAAAGGCTTCCTTGAGCCAATGCGTCAGCACAGGCAGCTTGCCTGCCCACGCGCGGGGGCGGGGCACCAGGCCCCCAGGTGTGGGCGCTTCTGCTTCCAAAGGTGCCCCTGAGGCTCCCGCTACAGCTTCCCAGCAGGCTCAGCGGCCAGCCGGCCGGTCTGTGGTTGAAGCGTCCTGCTCCCCAAGTTTGGTGAGCCTGTGCCTTCGCTGCCTGCTCCAGGTAAGCACCTGGAGGGGCCTGCCTTCCCGCGCACGCCTCCTCTGTCACCCCCAGCCCTGCCCTCAGCGCTGGTGCAGGAAGGTGTGAGGAGGGGAGGGGGTGCAGGGGGCTTGACAAGTGTGACGGCCCCCAGGAGGGAGGTCACTCCGGAGCCACCGACCCTGCCTGGGGTCAGAAACTGGGCAGGAAGGGTTCGGGCCGCCCCTGACCACTCCAGCTCGGCAGGAGGGCCCGGCCCAGGTGTGACTCAGAACCAGCAATCCAAGTGGCTGTTTTTGTTGTTGGAAGTGGAGGAGAGGTGGGGGTTGGAGGCCGGGACCAATAAAGGGGCCTTTGAAGAGAATGGCACAGGGGTAACAGGGTGACCCCATTTCTCACAGGTCTTCAGGGCTGCATGGTGACCCCATTTCACACACTAAGGGCCTGAGGCCCCGAGCCTCAGGAATTACTGTAGGAATTACTGAAGGGCCTGGGCCCACCGACACCCTGCCTGGGCAGACCTGGGCCTCAGTAAGGGTCCCTGGTGCTTGCTGCAGGCCTTGCTGGCTTAGACTCTTGGGAACGCCATCTGTGATCCACCTGAGCCGGAGCCAGCTGGAGCCGCGGCGGGCCTTTACCTACATATTTGTGTGCATAGTTTCTAAGAACAAGGGTGTTCACTTTCCCAACAGCGCAGTCCTTGGAACTGGGAAACTTGGCCACAGTGAACTTGCCTACGTTCCCCGTTCCCACTTCACCACTTGTCTCGCGAGACCTTTCAAAACAGTCACTTTCAACATCTAGGGTCACGTAACTCGAGAGGTCCCTTGTCCCTCTCCTTCAGGGCAGGCCCTTGGACTTTGTCTTCCGTGACACTACTGTACCTGAAGGTGTCCCCTTTGCTCTCTGCAATGCCTTTTCATGGCGGTGAGATGGTTCATTCACACTTGAAAATTAGTTTTAAAGACGGAGAAAAGGTCAATATGATGTGAACATCTCATTGAAAG